AAAGGCAATATAATATCTCAAAAGCTAATTTGGTTTGCAGGAAAAACTTTTTTATCGACTGTTGTCGAGGTTACGAGAATTGTTTACACTACCATCTTGAGTCAAGGACGTCACTTCATTACTTCAAAGGTATCTTTTAAAATTGTTAATAAAACCATCGGACTGCAAATAATCATAAATATATACTAGTAAAAAGATTTCATTTATAAAAATCCAATTTACTAAGTTTGCAGATGCATTAAATTAATTTTGCATTAACGTTTTTCTAGCAAATATCTACAGTTACTCTCGGTTGAAAATCTTTCACAGTCAATCACAACATTAATCAAGGCATTTAAAGATTCTTTTACTCCTACCTATTCATAATTTTCTTTAATTATATTCCATAAAAACATAGTGCCTACAATTTTGTGTCGACGGTAATTCGAAATATTAATGTAAAGCAGAGTTTTGTTAGTTAACACGAAGTTTAAAATAATGCTAATACAATAACAAAATTTCTGTCTAATAATAACCCAGACAAAATATATTTGTAAATAAACAAAATATTTATTTATCTTTATTTATTATCTAACTAAAAATTTGTAACCCTGTGTTTAAACTCATTGCATTTTTAGAATGATAATTAAATATTTTAAACTTCTTTTAAAGCATCTTTTCTTATATTTAACAACTTGAATTTATTTTCTTTAACAAAAAATAATGTTTGGTCACCTCCAACTAATCATAAAATATTTATTTTCTGAATTATTAGATATTCATTTCATGCTCAAGATATCGTGTAAAAATTGGAGAAGTTGAGAGAGGAATGAAGGGTGGGAAGCAGAAAGTAGACAAAGGTACCCCGACCTAGAATCGAGTTAACATGACTTATATACTAGGGAATTAGAATTGTATTTTTGTAGTGGTAGACACACTACAGTACTCCCCCACCAGAATTATATCTGTGACAGAATTCGATAAACGGATACCACTAGTTGATTCATTGCTGTTTTGTGAAAAGCAGGAAGAGCTGTGTTAAGATCACCGTACTTTTGAGTGCTGATCGTGAGAACTGTATTAAGTTCACGGTCGTGGTCTCCTGTGTTGCCATTAGAAGTCGAGTGTATGCGGCCAACGTAATGTGTGATCGAGACAGGGTAGCAACAGCTTGAGGAGGTAGATAATGTCACAGCCACAAGTAGCAAGTCAACTTGTCGATGTGGACCGTCCATCGAAGTAGGCGTGTTCAAATCGAAGTGGGAGTTTCTGTCAAAGTAGGCGCATCACGTCCGAAGGTCACCAATATGGGGAGAATAGATATCGACAATGTCAACCTTCACCTATAAAAAGGTGCCCCAACATAGAATCGAATTAACATGTCTTATATACTAGGGAATTTTATTTTTGTAGTGGTAGGCACACTACACATAGTATGTGTGGTTTCCGATAACAAGTATAAAAATGGGGTAGACTTGTTTGACAATCTCATGAAAACATATTGTTCTTCTATACAAGGAAAGAAATGGTATTGGCCGTTATTCATAAATGCATTTGAGACATCATTGGTTGCAGCATGGAAACTTTTTTGTGCTTAAACAAACTCCTCGAATTTCGTCGACACATTACAGTAGCTTATCTAGGATTGAGGGTACCTCGAAATATTGGTGGAAGAAGCTTAGGTGTTCAACAGAGAAACCAAGACTACTTCAAATTGCAAACTGATGATGCATTAATAAGAAATCCTAATTGGAAACAACGACGTTATCAGCTTAAAAACTGTATTAAGAAAAACCTTAAACTGTGTGCCACCAAAAATTTAATTTAGGACTTTGCGTCCAATGTTTTTTGCCATTTCATGTAAACTAAGAAGCGTAAAACATTTAGTAGTGGATTGGACCATCGTCCTATATATAGGGCAGCTTGTAAATATTAAACCATAAAAGTTTTGAAGAATTTTTTGAATGTTATGTTTAACTTGATATTTCATCAGTAGGTAATCGAATTTTTTTCGAAAAATATTGCTTTTTTTTAAATGTGGTGAAATATGGGTTAAAAACAACTATTTTGATTTCAAATTTTAACATTTAAAATATCAGAAATAACTCATTTGGCAAAGACTAAGCTATGTTTCAGATTGTCTTCTCTCGATTAAATTTATATTTAATTTTAATTCAATTTATAGTTATTTATTTTAATATCTAGAGTGAAATAAAGGTTGCGCATAATAAATAGAAAAGTCAATAATTGAATGGATCCTGGTCTTTTTTTAAATGAACTCATAGTAATAAAAATAACTAGATTTTATGCTTTATAGTTTCAAATTGATTGCTTTTATCGTAAAGTTTTCCTTTTATTTCTCTTTAATAATTTCAGCTGCAGCTCTCCAGCTTCAAGAAAATCTTCCAGGATTCTCAACCGCTGTTTATTTTTAAGAGCCAAACTGATGCAATGATGGCGAAAAATGGATATCGGTGAATGCTTAGAAGACTGAAGTTGTTATTAAAGTTTATTCTTGCGTCTACGTTGACATCAACTTTTTAAAGCTTTTAGTTAAATTTTTTAATTATGTATGTAACCTTCGTGACACTACTGAGTCTCCCTGCTTTAATCAGTCATCTGGTGTGATTCATTTCTGTCGTATGTGTTAATGTGTGGAACACAATATTCATTCCTGATCATTTCACAAAATCTTTCCAAAACGTATTTAAAGATTCCAAGATTTCCCGGAAATATAGTTGCGAGTAAACTAAAACTTTCAATTGATGGAATTCTAAATTGCATCAAAGGGAGGGTTGCAAAGATATGGAAATCTTTTGTTTAGAAATAAAGTAAAAACACTAAATGAAACTATTGATGATCAAGATGCAGGGCTAAAGAGAATAGAAGGGCTAGTTCACTCCGCTCTTACAGCTGAAGCTACGATTTCCCTCCTCATGACGTCACTGTGTCCACAGATCTCGGAGATCGCAAGCAAAGATATGATAACTTTGCATCTTTCTCTTGTAAAAATAAGTTAGACTTTTTCTGGTTATTAGCCTTCAAACTTTACGTAATTAACACATTATTTCCGTTCATAAACATAGTTCAAAAAAAACTTTCTTGGTTATTATATTAAAAAAATACCATTTTAAACTTATAAAAATGTTTTGCTAGTTGGTGAAAATGACACGATAAATACTTTATTTTAAAAAGTTCAGTTTTAACTTTAACTATTAAGAAAAATGAAGGCATATATCGACACTTTTTTTATCTACATATTCTTTTATAAAGATAAGTTAAGTTAAATTTAGAATCCCTGATTTTAAAATATGTCGTTAATAGCAATTTGTTCATACTTAATCATTAGGAAACATCAACCTTAAACGCTAATTACTGAAACAAAATAATAATTTAGGTTCATAATGACATTAGAAATTTTACAATTGTTTATAGACATTTAAATTTACGATGATATAATTTATAGATATTTAAATTGAAGAGAATATAATTTTTAAAAAAAATCATAAATATTTAGAATAACTACATTAAAAAATATGTTATGAAATTAGGAGAATTTCAACTATATACTATATATTTTATTTATACTTTTTACTTACATTTTAATTTTCTTTGACTTTATCTATTTTTTAATTCTTTTCACCTGCCTTTCTTTATGAAGTAACGAGGCGGTTTCTATTTAGATAATGAATTTTTATAAAAGTTCTTTACGACAGAATAAACGTATTGCTGTTTTATATTAACTGTGTCATTTCGGAATCCATTCTTTACATAGTTGTTCATTTACTTTAGGGAACACGCGAAAAATTATACTTTTTCCTTTTGTTTTTGTATCAGAATTTTTGCAAGTTGCAATCGCGCAAACTGGCATTTCGATAATAGTTTTAAATTCTTGTAAATTCACTGCAAAAACTGAGGAAAGTCATTATAGAAAATACCAAATGTCTTAGAATATCTCGCAAAAAGAAATGATCCAATATAAGTTAGAGCTAGTAAGGCCAAACGCTCCGTTCTTGAAGTAAAAGTGCGAGCTTTGCGCCAAAGTGACGTCAGTAGAGTGACGTCGGAGGATCGGCGCGGCGAGAGATAGTTCAAAGGAGTGAACCAGCCCTTCTATTCTCTTTAGCCCTGATCAAGATGTTCTTGTTAAGCAATGAGAATAATATATATTTGTACTGTATTGTTATCATAATAAAATAAGGTTTATTTTATAATGTGTTAGTTGTAAAATAAAATAATTACGTCGTAGAATAGTCGTAGAACTTGTTATGATTTTATTTATTCTTAATTACTGCAGATTCGTATAAGAATTTGAAAATTTAGAAAAAAAATAGTTTCAAGTTATACTGCAATTTTGTAATAAATCTTTTCATAGGTTTCCTTGAACGCCCATTATTTTGAGTTTTAATTAAATAAGATGAGTATATTTTTTTACAAAAGAAACTATCCGCTCCTCTTCTCAATTTTCTAAACTAAAAGTCAATGTTCTTTCCTCAAACCAAACAAATTTTAGTTATGCCTATTTGTGGAACATACTAAGTTTCGCTAGCAACCTTTATTTCAAATCATGCTCTAATACCTACTAGAAGCAAAAGTGCGAGAACTAGAATATGTAAAGCATACCTACTAGTGTATGTTATTTTTCCTGAAAAGACAATTTTTCATTGATTAAAAATTATACCTTTAAAAATTCTGCATGAATTTAAAACTAGCTTTTCTAAATTTTTAGAATATTTGAATTTTAAAAATATTTATACGTATTGTTTTCGCAATCAAAAATGATCACAATGGTAGTACTAGGTAAGAATGCCTGTCATTCCTGTGTTAAATAACTTCCAATATGAAAATTGAAAATAGTGATTTCAACTTACTGAATTAGAAATCTGTCAAAGTTAAAATTTTATTTTTAAAAAAATTAATGAAAAAAACAATTTTCAATACTTACAATATTTTATTAAAATTTTTTTTACAGTTTTAAAGAATATAAATCAAAATATACAAGACTAACACTTTATTTTACAAATTACAATTTTTATACAATACATTTGACGTTAACACAATCACGTATTTACACTGGCATTCTTAACAAATGAATTTTAACACTTTAATTGGAATAGTATAAAAAATATCACATTGTTCATTACATGAAGATATTTTATAAATTCCAATTTAGATTGAAATAGAATATTGGAAAATTTGAGCAATGACAAAATGATATTTAACACAAGATAAGGATTTTAAGTTTAATAACAAGCTTCAATTAAATTTTATTTCCACTTACGAGATGGAGTACAAAAAACAGAATTGTTAAGAAATTTTATCCTAAATATGAGGTTTTGGCTGCTTAATTTTATTCTTAAACTGTGTTGAAAAATATTTGCGATTAAGATTGGGGGATTTGAATTTTTGAAAACCTAATTTTTTACTTTAGAAATACGAAAACTCTTTAGAATTATTTTGTTTTAAATGCGAATATAAAAGCGAAACAATTTTACACGCATTGAAATCTTACGGTTATGCAATGTAGTTACACTAAATTTCCAAATAACTATTTACAGCATTTTAAAGAACGTTAGTTAAAAATTTAGCTAAATAATTTAAAATTGTCTTTTTTTAAACTACAAAATAAAGTTAGTCTAAAGTTTTTTTCTTAAATTATTCAATTTTGAATTTAAAATCTTCCCAAATTTTGTTTCTACGCAATTTTAGTTGAATAATTTTTCTATTTACCTTAAAGTTAACTGAATCGAGATTTAAGATATTGATGAGCTTTTATTTATTTATTAAAATTCCTGAACTTTATTAGAGAATTCTTATTAAACTTTAAGACAAGCAAGTATTTTACAAATAATTTATGCTCTAAATATCAAACGTAACATTCAAGCAACCTGTGTTTAACGAATTGTTTTTATTTGAATAGTTTAATGAAGCGTTACACGAATTTGTTACTTAAACTTATTTCTAGATATCAGAATCTATTAAGAGTATGAATTTCATATTACAAAAGTATAAAAGCACAAAAATACAAAGTTTAATCATGTCTTAAATAAATGACTTTCAGTGCACAATATTTCAGCAAAAGTGTGAGCAAAATATTATTTTCAAAACAATTATACATTCACATAGTACTAAAACAATTTTAAATCAATTGCTCAATAAAGTGAGACTATTATTTATTTACAAAAATTTATTGCAAGGTTTTCGAGTTAAATTTTGGTACTAAACAATTAAAGGTGACAGAGATGCTGCGTCTGAAAAAGCGTTATTTGTAACAATAGTGTATTAAAACAGAACTCCGCACAGTATTATTAATACAGTGAACAAACGCATATTCTTTCATAAAAAAATACTGCCTGCACAAAAATATCGTTAGCTGTCTGAACTCTACGGGAATACCAATCCACTGCAGAAACTTGCATGAATGAATCGAGAAGTTCCGAAACAGCTGCTGAAAGAATGTGAAGCACGAAGAGGAAGCAGAACGGCCGTCTACCACTTCCTCTTCGTATGACACATTCTCCCATCTGTTTTGAAACTTCCGGTTCATACTTGCAAGCCTTACTGTTTAGGATAGGCACCCTTGTATTGCGTGGAGTATTTCCGGTAAACCTCAGTTCCAACTTTTCATGATATGGTATTTAAATATTTTCTAATCTCAATGCGCTAACTGTTAATGGTTCTAAATTTCATTCCATGTACATAATCTTATAGTTTTTAGAGTTTTGGAAAACAATTTGTGTCTAATCAAGAAACTGAGGTTTTTAATGTAAGCTCATAATTAGTTTTGGTAAATTTTACAAGTTTTGATATCTGAAGTTAATTTGAATTTTCTGAATTCCACCATAATTTTCAAAAAGTAACCATTTGAATTACGTACCTGAATTTCTACTCCAGAATTTAGTTCCTTCGATTTTATGTGTCTAACATTTGAATTTAATAAAACATTTATATTTCTTTTACAACTACAGTTTGCAACTCGTACATTTATACTAAATATTCACTGAATAGACAATTGAAATTGCTACAATTTTTAATATATTCTAACCATTAATTTATCAATTTCAAAGTAAATAATTTAGGGTTGCGAAATGCACATCAATTTCGGATACAATATACAATTTTCAAATACAAATACCCCATACTTTATAAATATCGCATAACTAATAGCGTGATATAATTGTTTATCCAGAAAATATATATTCAACACAGGTACAGTTTGTTATTAAATAAGTCATTAAATTCCAATGTTAAAATTTATATTGTTGCTTCCCTTTTACAATTTTCGGGGAACATTTTATTCAAAACTTTAACTCGAAACAGATCTTGTTACATGAAAAATTATAGTCAATACATCTTTTACAAACATTATAGTCAATATTAACTAATTAAACAGTTTACGAAATTTGGTTAGATTAAGAGAGGAAGGAGAGGTTTAGCAAAATCTATTCTAGATTTTCTTTTCTCTCATTCGACCTGCTCTATTGCTAGTCATTTCTTCATTCCTCTCTTTCATTTTTTTTTATAGAAGTTTCCCTCTTCAGTCCAAGACAGGCATGCAAGTCCATCTCTAACAGTCCTTCAAGCTAAAAGCTTGCTTCAATGAAATACAGTCTTGAGGGCCAAGGCAAAACAGTTGTATCACATAGTCTGTTGTAGTTTATGCCCACTTGACCAACAGAAGCATTAAATAGAGTCCCTGAACTCATCCAAAAAGTTCCCAAAGCCATGTACTATTGCAGCAGGGTTGGAGACCAGGTTTCTCTTCTGGCAGCCAATACACGACATCACGTAGTCTTCCTCTTGTTGACCAAATTTCTATTGCCGTCAATCCTACTTCTGTATGATTCAGATTTGTTATCTACTTGTCACATGGAAATTCTGTAAAATTTCAGCCTGTTGGTTCTATATCATCACAATCCTTGAGATCTTCTTTCAATCCTACCTTTGTTTTTCATAAAGTAAACACTCCTCCAGACATTCATGCAAAGAAAAATTTAATTTTTTGTATTATACGCTATTTTTAAATTATATATATCTTTTTCCATACAAGCAGGTATGTTTACTGTTATTTACTATTCTTTTTAATTACTATTCATATATATTATAACTTCCTTTATATTATTAAACTTTATTACATATTCATAAATTATCCAACATACTTAAATTCTACTGCACAGAAAGCTTCTGTATTTTCCTGCCAATCGTTAATTTTATGTACATCACTTTTCAAAATCTAGGTATTCCTTTCTTTAGGGACAGACTTTTAGCTTCTTTAATACGGTAATAATGAATGTTTTAGCAAAGCTATTGTCCTCCTACTGAATTACATAAGAGAATTGGATCCTTTTAAAACCCTATATAGTCCGGCAAATCTGTCTTTAGATTTGAGACTTATACGCTATCACCTATTAAGCTTTAGTTTAGCATTCCTTGATTTTCATTTTGCATATGACAACGTAAAATTTATGTGCATCCGATTTTTACTTTATTTAGAGTGGAGTGGTTTTAGAAACTAAACCCGAGTAGCCTGCTTTTCACTATCATTATATATTAGGAAAATTGAGATCAAGCTCAAATTGTTTTTTCTTCGGCAGTTGAAAATCATAAATAGTGTTTAAGAATAGGTATTACTTCATGAATTTGTAATGCGATTGACTTGAATGTCCAATAACTCTAACTGAAAAAAATCGGAGTCTAATCATTTAGCTAGATCTGATACAAGTATGTGAACAGAAATATGAGCATATGTAATCCTTAAAGTGCATAGCTATTGTATTGGCTTGCAGACTTTCAATTACATTTAAGATATCAATTACATTTAAGACACTAGTAACCGACTAACTTAACCCTAAGCGAAATTGATTCACCAAGGGTTTTAGGAATGTACATTTACCCAAGCAGAGCACGTTTTATTTTGGTAATTTAATCACATAGCAATTTTAACAGGATTTTATGAAGTTATATACGTAGGAAAAATATTTATCCCGAAATCTCTAATATATGGTTTATTAATCCCAAAATCTGTCAAATGTGACTGCGGTAAGCATTTATGTCTTAATGCAGCAGGTATTATAGTTTATTAAATTTCCCTGCTTGTTAAGTCTTATTATCTAAAGGCATTGATAAAATCAAATTCTTTATCTACATAAAATGTTTCAAAAGCTTACCTTCCTTTATTGCTAATCTAACCTCACTAAGCTGTTTCAGTTTTTTTCTTCGCCAGGATTTCGAGGTTGTCAATCTAAATATTTTTATCACCAACGATATTGCTTATATTAACTTAATTCGCATCATTCTGATAGATACTATCAGGTGACACGTCATCAAGATCTATATTATGCAGATCCTCCAGATCTACTATATGATTTTTTCTAGAAGACTAACATAAATACAGCTGTGACACAGATGAAACCTAGCAGCTTGTCACTCACTCAAATGTCTTAAACGCCAAACCAAAAACGAAACTACGAGATACATTACAAATAGTACATACAATATAAATTATGAACATAGCATTGAACAGTGAGCTCAGTTTAAGAACAGCAAGAACAAGTAAAAGACAAATATTTTGCTAAGAACCTATCATTACCAAATTTGAATTTTAAAAAAACTATAGATAACTGCTTTCTAGTTTTATTGGACAGGATAATTAATAAGCAAACATCTTATAGTAGTTTGTAAATTTTTTTTTCTACTTAACTGTATTCACGACAATATTTATCACTTCTTAATATTCCTCTATTGATACGTTTCTGATTTTGACTATTAATTTCAATATTTATGTCTCCAAAAGTAAAAGTACATTATGAAGCAATCTCATAATTTAACCTTTAGATTTAATGTCAAGATATTCTAAGTTTTACAATTATAAAGCGATAAATCAAATTTAGTTCAGGTTTGTAAAAATGTGCCAACATCTACAATTAAAATATTTATGAGATTGTAAAACAGAATTAAACTTATTACCATTACTAAATTATCGTTTTGGTGAAAGATATATAACGTTTTTATAATAATTTAAAAATTTCAGAGGATTTAAAAAAAGTTTAGATGAAATTGCTATGGTAACGATGCAAAATAATTAAGTTTAATATTTACACCAATAGAACCTTAAAATCAATCAGTGGAACAAAGTATTCTTGGAATAAAAAAGTCAAATCAAATACTTAATTTTTGTTGAAACAATTTAGAGTAAAGAAATGAGCATTCTTGGGGGGGGAGTCCCCTTTAATCACCCCTTTCATATATTTACCTTTAGGAAAAAACTATGTATGCAACAAGATAAAATTTAAAAATTATTAGTTGTAGCGTTTAACGGGAACAAAAAAATTTTAAAAGACCTATTTTAAATCTAAAACCTTAGATTATATTTAAAAGAAAAGTGTTTCTGATTTTTCAAGGAGCAGTGTTTATTTGAATTTAAATTTCGATGCCAAACAAATTGCTGTCAAGATTTAAATGCTTTGTTGCATGTAGTTTGAAGGAAAATTTATCGCCGGCTGGAATGACTATACAGTCTAAGCAGTTTCCATTTTTTCAAGCTTGTTTATAGAATAGAAAGTTTTCCCAATATTTCAGTACTTTAAATTAAACTAATTTATATTCATTAATCTAATATTTTAATTCAAAAGCCTATTTTTTCAGATATCTAACTAGATCATTCTTTAAATTAATTTTTCTGAACTCAGAAGAAGTAATTTGCACAAGAATCAGGTTTTCAATCTGTTAATTTTATTTTAGTAATAAAAGTTATTTCTACGAATTAGAGAACAAACTTACTGTTGTCTATTATTTTGCTGTTAAATGTACTTGAAAGAAATGTGTGTGAGCGTAAGAAAAATTCAAAAGAGTAGTGAATTTCTCATCTAAGATTGTAATCGGTTTCTGACCGAATCATGTCTGGCAAATATTCCCAAATCACAAAAAAAAACATTCCAGACCATTTCATATTTAGTTATTATAAATTTATGTCATTGTATAAGAGAAACTTCCGCTGTACGACTTTCCATTACAATATATACTGACTTCTAAACACAGGTAATTTAGTTTTAAACACTAGTAAATATTGTGAACTTTTGTAGATCATTGGTAAATAGTTAATAAAATCAAAACCACTTTTATACAAAATGAGATTATAGTACTACATTTGGAACCTACCATTTAGTTATTTGTTTTCATTAAAACAAATATGTGCGCTTACTTCCAATCAAACTGTCGACTTCAGAAAACTTAATTTTTTTTAAATTAATCTATGACCATACTTGTCCTTAAAAAAATCTAAACGACCTGCAGGATTTACCCTAGCATTTCTTTTCCTCTCAGAAAAATTTAACAGTTCAACATAAACAGTAATACTTAGACAATTGTGCTTAAACAAGAGCCCAAAGTTCTTAATTTCTGGGAGAAAAAAATTACTTGGAAAATAAAAAGCATTTAAAAAATTCTTAGATTAAAACCACGTTAAGAAAGTCATTCACATCTTTAATGACTTGATATTTGAAAATATTGTAATAAGTAATATTACGTCCCTTATTTCTTGCCGGTAAGGAGAATTATATTTTTAAAGCAGTATTCGAACCAGTTTACAGTACACGCCAACAAGGTCCTGAAAGCTTATGAACTCTGCACATTAAAGTTCATCGCTGTTAAATCTTTGTTTGCAAAAACTTCTTGGTTATCAACTAATTTTTTTCAAAAAGATAAGAATTGAATAGCTTAAATTCAATAGAAAGGAGTGAACTAAATAGGTAAGAAACGTGGACGCAAAGCTGCAGAATAAAACTAAAAGAGTTGGCAAAACAGAAATTAAAGAAATATTCTAGTTTCAAACCGCAAGTCCAGACCTCTACAATAAAATTAAAATGGAACCAATCACCCTTGCTATAAAAAGAAAAGATTGAATGAATAGGTCTAATTTGAAGATATTTTATTTTATAACATTCGCTGACCAGCTGACCCAATTTTGGGATTACGACTTTTAATGTTAAGCTCAGTAGCCTTATTATTTTGAACCCAATCCAGATGACAAGGAAACTCCTGGATCAGTACCCCCAGTATTGGGAGAAATTTGCCTCCGTGAAAGAATTTTTGATGGAACTAACCCGCACTTGCGTTACATGGAGAGGAAGACCACGAGAACATCCCACGATTAGTCTAACGGCAAATTGATTCTAACCCATGATCCGTCTACCACTGAGGATATTTCACATCAGCACTTTGGTCGGTGCATTGAATGATTGAATGTAGAGTTTAATGGCACAAGATCCAAATGTGGACATGCTGCGCCAAACAATGTTTTTTTAATCATGTCAAAATTAAAGTGCATACATATTTTCCATAAATCGCATTAAAAAGTGATAAAATGATATAGAAACAATCAACTGTGATATTGGATTCTAATCAGATCGAATTTAAAACACAGTAAAATTTTGAAAGATATTTAAAATAGTGTAAAAGAAAGAATATACTTCTAAAAGTGAAAGATTTCATGAATAGAATAAAACTTATATACCATTTAAAATGCCAATAGCACGTAAAAATGCAAAAATGTTTGGATGATTAGAGTCACCTAACAAATCTCCCATATATAAAATAGAACTACCAAAAAATGAAAGACGATGTCTGTTAAAACACGGGCAAATTGTTAAAATATGGTGAATCGAAAGTAAAGCATCACAAGTGTTACATTGAGGAGGTTGTTCACCAAACAACAAATGTAGATGGATCAGTCTGGTATGCCCGATTCGCAGCCGGGTAAGTTTAACATCTGCACTACGTAATCGCAACACAGGAAAGGGTTCCAAATTTGATTTACGAGCGTGCAACTTATTATTCACTTGGTTATCCCACTGTTGCTGCCATAAAGATTTTATGTAGTTTTTTATGTGTATTTTTATATCTGAGAATGGTACAGATAAATTTAAAGTAGTAGTAGCAGATCGCGCTGCTGTATCGGCTAAATCATTGCC